AGCTGTTTTAATCAATAGAGGTCTCTTACTTCTCTTTGCTAAATACAAATGGCAGAGCCACTTTCTCCTTGGCTTTTCTCTCCTCCTCAGACAGGCGTAGATTGAAGGTCAAGTTTGATGCCGGATCAGCCTGTTCAGATCACAGTGAAAAACAAAAAGTTACAACAAAAACCTCCATCTTAAGTCATTGAGAATCAAAGCGGCTTTGCTCACCTCTGCTACATTTTGCTCTTTCCGCACATGCCCATGTTGATGGAGTTTGGCCTGTACAGAAAGGGTCACGTCCTTGGACACATTGACATACTCTTCCTAAAAATGGATTACACGCTTATGATTTTAGATCAGAATCACATGTTTATTCAGAGTAAAACCTCATGTCTTACCTCTTGCATAACTTTGCCTGACTTTGTGCGTCGTGTAGTCGTAGCCACAGCATGATGTTCATTGTTTGCAGGTGCCACAGAGATAACAGTACTGGCTAAGTGGCTTACAATCCCTACAACACCTTGTAGGTGCAAATCTGAATGTAGGAGACTTATAATAGTTTTAATATCTCCTCCTAGTGGTCAGTGGAAAAAACAAACAAGAGCATTATTTCCTAAGTCTTGAATTAGTCCATACTTAATGCCTGCTACAGACTGTGTGATTTCAGCAATCCTATAAGATCATTACAAATCACACTGTACGACATGAATCTAATAAACATGCATGTAGGGTACTACGATGATGACACTTATTGAATGCCCAAAATCACACAATGCGTCAATGTGAAATGTTTCACCTTTTCTGAGCTCTTGAAGTCTTCGAGAGATGACAACAGGGTCGTGATGTCTTAAAACCAATGAGAGGGAGTCAATAACAAGTACTGGTGCTTTGACATGCTGCGAGTCTTTGATGAGCTTCGTTATGTGTTGAGAAGTGAGCTGATCGACGGTGAAAGATGATCTGCACATCCAGCCGAGGGGATCAGGGAAACCCTTATGAAAATGAAGCCTTAGACACACAAAATGAGAAAGTATTTCAGTGGCAAAATACATAAAATCAAATCCTAAAATAGACTGTCCTGAGTGGTAAAAGAATGGAAGTAAATTAATCATTAATATACTAATATATTTAAATATTACACTGTTGTTAATGCCCTTACAAAAGGTGTTAATAAACTGTTGGGAGAAACAATGGTCAATAATAATAACACAATAAATATTATCCTACATAGTTAGCAAATAATAATAAGATAGCAAAATAACCAGGCTATCAACTTAAAAATAAACATATTATTTATGTCAAAGGCTATGCATATTTGGCACAAATTAATAAATTGCTTAACATGGCTAATATTAATACCTTTACTGTTGTTTTTGCATATATAACATTTGTTAATTAACATCAGTGATAAATAATGGGAAATGGAAAAAATATAAAGTAACTAACAATATCATACACAGTTAAGATAACAAAATAACCACCAGGCTTATAAACCTAAAAAAGAAATATATGTGGCACAATTTTCAGTACAGGTTCTTCTGTCACTTGGTACTTTGGCTATTATTAGTAAAATATAACATTTCTGCTGATGTTTCAGCAAAACTTAAAATAAAACTGCATATTTTAATTTTAAGTTAATACTATTTATTATCAAGGCATTAGCCAGTAATAGTAAAACTTAGTACTTTAAATGTAAAATGCCCTTACATTTTCTAAATGTTACATTTTCAAAAAAGATTAGTCTGGATATACATACAATATTTATGTTTGTTTTGCATAAATTTAAAAGAAAAAAAGTTTAATTTTAGGGAGATTTTTATTTATTTATGCACAATAAACTGTTTAGTTTGGTGCTGTGTCACCACTTGTAAAATCTTCTTGAGTCCTGAAACAAAACAGTTGAAAACCACTGTACTATAATATTTAAAGATTTTAAATGATGTGCATCCTAAATTACACACTGTCCGGACCATTTAATATACATTTCTACGATGTAAAGTGCTTTTAGGTGTCACCATATGCATAAAAGCATGAGTTGATCTCTCTGTTAATATCTCTCTCATATATATATATATATATATGTGTGTGTGTGTGTGTGTGTATATACACTCACCGGCCACTTTATTAGGTACCCCATACTAGTAACGGGTTGGACCCCCTTTTGCCTTCAGAACTGCCTCAATTCTTCGTGGCATAGATTCAACAAGGTGCTGGAAGCATTCCTCAGGGAGTTTGGTCCATATTGACATGATGGCATCACACAGTTCCCGCAGATTTGTCGGCTGCACATCCATGATGCGAATCTCCCGTTCCACCACATCCCAAAGATGCTCTATTGGATTGAGATCTGGTGACTGTGGAGGCCATTTGAGTACAGCGAACTCATTGTCATGTTCAAGAAACCAGTCTGAGATGATTCCAGCTTTATGACATGGCGCATTATCCTGCTGAAAGTAGCCATCAGAAAGTGGGTACATTGTGGTCATAAAGGGATGGACATGGTCAGCAACAATACTCAGGTAGGCTGTGGCGTTGCATACGATGCTCAATTGGTACGCAAGGGGCCCAAAGAGTGCCAAGAAAATATTCCCCACACCATGACACCACCACCACCAGCCTGAACCGTTGATACAAGGCAGGATGGATCCATGCTTTCATGTTGTAGACGCCAAATTCTGACCCTACCATCCGAATGTCGCAGCAGAAAATCGAGACTCATCAGACCAGGCAAAGTTTTTCCAATCTTCTATTGTCCAATTTCGATGAGCTTGTGCAAATTGTAGCCTCAGTTTCCTGTTCTTAGCTGAAAGGAGTGGCACCCGGTGTGGTCTTCTGCTGCTGTAGCCCATGTGCCTCAAAGTTCGACGTACTGTGCGTTCAGAGATGCTCTTCTGCCCACCTTGGTTGTAACGGGTGGTTATTTGAGTCACTGTTGCCCTTCTATCAGCTCGAACCAGTCTGGCCATTCTCCTCTGACCTCTGGCATCAACAAGGCATTTCCGCCCACAGAACTGCCGCTCACTGGATGTTTTTTCTTTTTCGGACCATTCTCTGTAAACCCTAGAGATGGTTGTGCGTGAAAATCCCAGTAGATTAACAGTTTCTGAAATACTCAGACCAGCCCTTCTGGCACCAACAATCATGCCACGTTCAAAGTCACTCAAATCACCTTTCTTCCCCATACTGATGCTCGGTTTGAACTGCAGGAGATTGTCTTGACCATGTCTACATGCCTAAATGCACTGAGTTGCCGCCATGTGATTGGCTGCTTAGAACTTAAGTGTTAACGAGCAGTTGGACAGGTGTACCTAATAAAGTGGCCGGTGAGTGTATATAGATATGTATATAGTTTATTTAACTCACTTCTGCACACAGCTTCTGTCCAAGCCTTCACACACTTCTGTTTCACTCGCCTCGAATCCCAGCACATGTACGTCCTCGCCCCTTTAAAAGATTTGAACAAAAACCAAACACTGTAAAAACTTAATGCAAGTCATTAAAAAAAGTGAATAAGAAAAATCTGCAGACAGGAACTTGCCTCTTTAATGCTGCATTAATAAAACACCTGAGGATGCCCCGACCTGAGCATTTGACAGTATCTGAAACGAACAAACATATATTTACTATACTCAGCAGTGTAGAAATGTATAAGCGGGGTAAGAGTATTGATATTACCTTGAATGAGTATGAATCCTCCAGCCTCTGCTCCCTGTAGCACATCTAGCAGCATGACTCAAACGCTCATTAAACACTATTAGCTAATAGCAAAACAAATCACTTTGGGGCTTGGCAAGCCACTGAATGGCTTATTACACCAGCGCTATTGATTAAACATCTTAAAGACCCAAGTAGAATTCAAAACTCTTGGTAATATAAAAGAGTTATGGTAAAATTCACGATCAACACGAGTTTGATTACAGCGAATACTCAATTTCCCAAAAGCACAGCGGCAACCCGACCCGTGCTCTTTCTTCTGCATCGCTGTTTGCCAGCTTGAGTAATGCATTAGCGCCACCTATTGTGCTGTAGTATATAGTGCATGAGTATGATAGAATAAAAGATTGAAAACCCCCTGATGTCATCAAACACATTTGATAGGGATAGGGATGGTTCACCCAAAAATTTCATTACTGACAACATTTACTCACCCCCAAATTGCTCCCAAGCTGTATACATATATATTTGAGAATATTTCTATAAGTCATTGGGGCCTATCAACTGTTTTCTTCAAAATATTTTCTTTTGTGTTCAGCACAACTCATTCAGCTTGAAACAACTTGAGGGTGAGTTAGTGATTTTCATTTTTGGGTGAACTATCCCTTTAACCATGTGTTATGAGTCTCTTGTTTTTAACGCCTCTATGTCTGAACAGCAAGGATATTTTTAATTTATGAAACAGGCTGTAAAGCTATTTGTTTCCTCATAATCGTTTAATAACACTTCAGATGAGTTGGTTTGTTTTTGTCATTATTTTGTTTTAGTTTATTTTTATTGTTATTTCAGTCTAATTTGTTCTCCCTGGTCATGTGTATAGAAAATCTATTTTCAGATGATTTGCAGGAGGTATGATTCTAAGTTTATAATATAATAAGATTTATATTGTAAAAAAAATATATATTTTGTATTTGTTTCCTCAAGGCCCAACATAATATTTAGTGACAGCTCAACATTGCCCTCTATTGATATTATACGGAACATGGGGGAACAGTGAAATCTAACTCCCATCTATGATAGCTCACTGAATTGTGAAAAGAGAAAAAAAAATAACTAATATGACTTCCATCTTTAAAAATTATTATTGTAAAATGATATATATGTGTATCGGCCTATATATAATATATATGCATGTAAAATAATGATATATATAATTATATGCTATGATATGAGTGTGATATGAGTATATAAATACAAACAGTGACAGTAGTAACCCATAAGCCTTCCTTGAAACTGAAATGTTTCTGCTGTAACGAAGCCGCGAATCAACTCCTCCATGACGTCATCAGCGTGCGCCGCTGGGTTTCAGTCTGCTGGCCTCTGGAATGGGCAGATATCACCAGCCCATATTTCACCATTGATTTATTGCACGAACTCCACGGAGAGTCTGTATTATTCCCGTCGTCTACACGATGCTATGCGGAGGTGAGTGTTTTTGTCACAGGGCGTTTGCGTGCGGGTAAAAGAGCGGCGGTTTGAGAGTATGTGGGAAGAGCGATTAGCTCGTTAGCGGCGGTCCGGTGGAAATCCCAGCCTTTCATTTAGTCCTGCTTTACTTTCAAACATGCTTTAACTACCAAAGTTTTTGACTGGACGAAATGAAGCGAATGCACCAAACTGTTTCTCTGCAAATTATTGATTATATTGTCCGTATGAAACGCCTGGCTAGTGAAGTTAAAGGCTTTAATAGCAGCTGGCTAACGCTTGAGTCTTAATGAAAACATCACTAGTGTCTCGTGCCACGATTCACTCCAGCGCGATGTCAATCCTGACAGGGATTACTAACGCCCCAAAACATCAAATTTGTACGTTATTGTATCTTATTTTTGGCTTTTAATGTTTTTATTACGCTTTTCTTTGTCTGTTTTAGTTTAATTGTGTCAGGATGATGTAGGCAGGCGAAGTTTCCGTTTCATGGAAACTTTTAATTTTAGCAAACGATTCGGTGACTTGCTTTTTAATTTATGAAATTCTTGGCTATCAAAATGAGAGTACTATATTTAGAAAGGCATGGCCACCTGGCATGTAGTAGCAGAAATCTACTTTTACTACGAAGCAAAATTGATCCTTGAATTGATTTTATTATTAACATTCACGTGTTCGTATTTGGGTCTGTCGTGTATTTATGTATGATAACGTTACTTGAAGTCTGCTCTAAACGCATAATACGTATAGATATGTATTAATGTGAAATATACCAAATGTTAGACAGCACACAAAAATAGGAACTAGTATGGTGGTTTAGAAATGGTTGCTCCTATTTCTGCACTTTCTTTCTCTTTATTGAATCTGACGTGTATGAGTCACAGAAGCATTATGGGTTCAACACAGTTAGCCTGGAAGAAATTTTATTAAGTGCTTTATCTTTTAGGCCTAATTCTATTAACTATTATGCCTGTTGCTGCACTTATTTTTTTATTGTGAGGTTTCTGTGAGATGTAACTAACTGTACTATTAGAATAAGCTCTGAAAAACTATCAAAAAGGTTGTTTGAGTATGATGTCAACATTACTAATTAAAGTAAAATGTGATAAATCTTCCATTTTGAATGATTCTGCTTATCTGGAAATGGAAGTTTGCAAAATTTCCCTTTAACTGCTCTGAGGTTAAGTGATGTTCGTCATGATGCTCGTATTTTTATTTCTAGTATCCTCAACATTGTATTTAGGACGAACTGGAAGGGGCATTTGTGGATTTTCTTGGTAATTTCCAATATTTAATTTTTTTTGAAAAGTGGCTTTTGATGAATGAGTAAAACAGGTCTGTGGTTAAGCTTACTCAAAGAGACTTCCACATTTTGCTCTAGAATATAAACAACATGGTTATACTTGAAAATGACATTTTGTTGCTGTTTTTCAAAGGTTTTGTAATGTTCAGTTAAATTTTCGGCCCAGTTTTTTATTTATAATTTAATTAGGGCTGTCAAATGATTAATCGCATCCAAAATAAAAGTTTGTGTTTACATAAATATATGTCGGTGTACTGTGTATAATTATTTTATATATTAGGGGTGTAACGGTACATGTATTCATATTGAACCGTTTCGGTTCGAGGCTTCCGGTTCGGTACGCATACAAACCGAACGGTTGCTTGGATAATTTTTCCTGCCGGCAAAATTCGTGCTGACGCGGCCAACACAATGTTGCGCAACATCAAATGGCAAGCGTAATGAAAGCAGAACGAAACTGCGCTACTCGTTATGTGCTTCACGGATCGTTTATCACAGGGGTCACCAAACTTTTTTCTCTGGGGGCCACATTATCGTTCCTGACTGTGATGGGGGGCCGGGGCTATATAAAATAGAATTGTGTGACCAAGACCAAACTGACCACCAGCAGGCCTCATAGTAGAGATTACTAGCCTGGCACAGCCATATTTGTTTATCATTAATAGTTGTTTGCAAAAGTAGTAATCGAGTCTTCACACTTTGTTTTAATTTGAAATACCACAGATTTTCCATTTATTTATTTTCGAATACAAATAACATCAAACCTGTCAAGGTAAGAAACATCTGCCTAGTTGAGGTGAGTGGCACTGGTAAGGATGAATGAAAAATTATAAATTATAGGTAGGCCTGTTACTATTTATAATAATTGTGTACAGCACTTAATAAAGGTCAAATAAATAGGCCTATAAAATAAATAAATAAACATTGAAATTATAACAACAACATGAGTAATAGAACTAGTCAGCTCTTATGCCTATCCAGGTGAGCATGCTCAATAAACAACAAAATACCAAATGCAGACATGTTATTATTTTCCAAAAAGCAATTTAAAAAAATAGGCCATGACGACTTTTGGGGATTGCCGGTTCAAGTAGTGGGGGGCAGAGGGGTTGGGGGGCCAGTCAAAGGGGTGTGGCGGGCCTGATTCGGCCCGCGGGCCTTAGTTTGGTGACCCATGGTTTATCAGTTCGGACCAGCAACATCTGTGCAGCACGAGCCGATCTCGATCAAGCAACACTGTTAACACACACCGCGCTAAGAGATCCGGTAAAGAAAACATTTGAATTCGCCTCTGAGGTAATAACATCGCTGCGAGATCTAGTCAGTGAGAAGCATTCACATTTCTCCGTTATTTACCGTAGATCTCTATTAGATCAAACAGCGCTGTCATGGAAACCAGGAGAAACATTGTGCCGTGAATGAACTAGTAATACTTTCGTCCACAGACCAGCAACATTCACCATGGATTTAATATAGTAACACTAACTGGAACCAGTTTAGCTGGAATGGTGAAATGCTTTCAAGTACTTCACACATCTTTTTCCAGCACTTCAAAATTCAAATATTATATAAATAAATATATATTTAAATGTTATTTTTAATGCACTCTCAGAAAAAAAGGTACAAAAGCTGTCACTGGGGCTGTACCTTTTCAAAAGGTACACTTTTGTACCCAAAGGCTGCATATTGGTACCTTAGTGGTACATATTAGCACCTAAAATGGACATATTACCACCTGAAAAGGACATATTAGCTCATGAAATTGACATATTAGCACCTAAAATGTACATATTAACACTTAAAATGTACATATTAGTACCTCAAATGTACATATTACCACCTAAAATGGACATATTAGCTCATGAAATTGACATATTACCTCCTGAAATGGACATATTAGCACCTAAAATGTACATATTAACACTTAAATGTACACATTGACACTTAAAATGTACATATTAACACCCAAAATGTACATATTAACACCTGAAATGTACTTATTAGCTCATGAAATGGACAAAAGTTTACCTTTTGAAAAGGTACAGCCCCAGTGACAACTTTTGTACCTTTTTTTTCTGAGTGTGTGATGACCAAAACATTATTTGTTCATCCTTCAAAGATGACCCCCATTTATAAACCTGAAAGTTTCAAGATCTAGGAAAACTCACACTTATTTAAAAATACTTTTTTCTTTAAACAAATAGGAAATTTCTCTGGCATTTCTTTCTTTTTGCTGTATCGAAAACGTACCGAACCGTGACTTTAAAACCGAGGTACGTACCGAACCGTGATTTTTGTGTACCGTTACACCCCTATTATATATATATATATATATATATATACATAAATACACACACACATGCATGTATATTTAAGACAAAAATAATTTATATATAAATCTATATACATGAAAATATTTCTTAAATATATACAAGCATGTGTGTGCATTTATATAATAATTATACACAGTGCACCCACATATGTTATGTAAACACAAACTTTTATTTTGGATGCCATTAATCGCGATTAATCATTTGACAGCCCTAAATTTAATTTAACTTTATTATGAAAACTAAAACTATAAAAAAAAATGGTTATCAATCAATAACAACACTTGTGTTATAACCTATATTGTATTATATGGTTGTTTAATTAATGGTTTAACAATTATTATCAGTTCTGGCACATAAATGGCAAAATTGTGTGGATTAGTGGACATTGTCCAAATAAACTGAATTGAATCAAACTTGGCAGCAACAAATAAATCTAAAGGGTTGATTTGTTGTTTCAAACTGACAAATAAACGGGGAGACAATAAATTGTCCTTTAAAAACGTGAAATGTAAAGTAAACTACTATGCTATGTAATACATATTTGAAAATACGTTATCTTGCATGTTGTTTATAAGTAATATGGCATTTGTACTCAATATTCACCAAAAATTTTATAGCAATTTATATGTAGAGGGAATGCATTGACGTCACTTTCCCGCCGGAACAACCCCCCTCAGCCTGACTGAGTGGCAAAAGATCTGCTGCGTGACTGGGTTTAATAGGGGAAACTGCGAAAATGCGACTAAAACTTACTATTTTATACAATTTAAACTAAATGTTGGACTCAATATAGTGTTCCTTACAACTTACTAAAGATCCAGTCAAAGTGATCCATGGATATTGACATGCAGCCAGGAATCGTGTTGCCTAACATTTACGTTTGCCTGATTTCGACACTGGGGAAATAAAAGCAATATAGACCTAACCATAAAGCAAATTTGCCTGTGTGAACGCTTTAGATAAATACAATATAGGTAGGTCTAAATCCGGGTGATCACTTATGGAAGAGCCTATATATCATCATATCTTCCAGCCCTAAAACTTTACTTTTTTTTTTGGTCAGTGTTTATTAAAAAAACATCCAATAATGCAGAATATGCACTGATAAATATTTAATTGATGAGTTGTTAATATATATATATAACAATACAAAATGGTTATGGTTTTACACCTATCTAAATTCAGCTTATTGACACAAAATGATAACTCCAAATCCACCTTTCGCTGACTGTTCAGTTGTTTCTGTGAATTGCAGCGATCCATTTGCTCTTTCTATATCAGTCTGTAAAAATATACCTCTGATTTTTTTTGTCAAATCTAGTTGTACAGTCAAATCACAAAGCTCTTTCCCACTTTAAATGTGTTTCGCGGCATTCACGCTGAAACAAATACAGCCGCTCAGTCTTTTTGCCACTCACTGTGAGTAACTATAGGCACTCCGGCCGACGGTGACGTCATGCGTAGGGATGCACCGATATGAACATTTTGGCCGATACCAATAATGATAATTCTTTATATTTGAAAGCCGATAACCGATATATCGGCCGATAAATCTAAATCTAATTTTTATATAATTTTTAAAAGCCTGATTGCAAAAACAAAAGTCTCACAATTAAAATCAGTTCCCGAACACAATTATAATGTTCTCATTATAATTTCATGTACATGTTTAACTTAACAATATTTTCCTTTTTGATTCCAATCATATTTCAAGCAATTAAGATCAATCATGTTGAACAGTGCGCATCTTAAGTGTCTCAGGTGTCAAGTGTTGAAGGAAATAATTTATTATTTCTCAGCTTTAATATATCCGCCAAATGTTATTATCGGGCCGATAACATAAAAATGAACAAATATCGGCCGATACCGATATGGTGGCCGATATATCGTGCACATTCTTTAATTGACTAGTTGGCACAGTTGTCTAAACCAGCCATTGTAATTGGCTTGGTCAGTATGTCCATCAATAGCCTATACATCATTAGTTTGAATGTGTTGTTTATGTATACATCGTTTCTTTATGCATTTAGGTAAGGTGATGGAAGAGGCCAGCGGGAGGTTCTCAGAGCTGATTCCAGTGGTGCTATTTCCGCGGCTGTCAGGCTTTGTCCCTTCCTCTGTTCAGTAACAGCGCCCGTTCTCATCCCGAATCACCATGAAACCAGTCCACGAGCGCAACCAGGAGTGCCTCCCTCCCAAAAAGCGGGACCTCCCTGTTAACAACAACAGCAACAACACCACCTCCACCAACAACAGCAGTAGCATCAGCGGCGGAGCGGGAGGCAGCGCAATTGGGAGTGGAGGTGAGGATGGCCCGTCTTCACAAAGCTCTGGAGTGAGCGGAGAAGCCCAAAGTGGTAGTGGCGAGTGGGTGCGAGCCCAGCCGAGCGTGCATTATGGGGTGGAGGGTGCTGAGGGTCTCATCGGGTTACCCATGGATCAGTACAGCATGCTCTATAAAGTAGCTTTGCCCGCTGGCACCTACTCACCTGTTCTTAGCCACATTTCTCCTGCCTACAACGTTCCTTCCTCGGTGTTACAGCATACCGGTGTTCCCTACCCTCCGCTCGGCTACACCCAGATCCCGCACTCCTCCTTGCAGTTTGTTAGCTCTCCGTACGCGACTGCGGTTCCCTACGGCGTGCCTACGGGATTTGTTCCCCAGTCGCACCTAATTCCATACCAATCAGTGATTCAGGAAGGCGTGGTCTCGTCCCATCAGCAGCAGCAGGTCTCGACCCACGCGTACGCCAAAATGACAGCGCCTCTGGTGCTCCGTCTGAGCAGGCGGCGACACAAGCGGCACTGGGGACCGTAGGGATGTTACCTGCAGGGGAGCACAGCCCGAGAGGCGTGCCTGTGTTCTACCACCCCCCCGTCAGGGGCGTCCAACCTCAACGAGTCCCAGAACAGGAAAGGGAGGTGAATGGTGGGGACCGAGACCACGGAGGCAGGGAGAGCCATCTAGATGCAGTTTATTCGTCCAGAGGTGCAAGGCTGATGCAGGAGTCCCATCAAGACAAGAGCTTGAAAAACCGCAGGCAGGAGGGGAGAATGTCTCCAGGACAGAGAAGCACGCCAGACACTGATCTCGAGGTAAGGGACAGATGGTTTACTATTATAGCCCGACCAATAAAAGATTTTGAAGGCCGATACAAATATTTTTGGGTTTTAAAATCCGATATTCCGATATATCGGACGATATTTTATTTATTTATTTATTTATTTATTTATTTATTGTCATGCTTATTTGAGTTAAAGGACAACTCCGGTGTAAAATGAACCTTTGGTCTAGTTACACATTGCTACCTAGTCAACTGTTATATGAGATTTGTTTTCATGATTGCCGAATGTAAATAGTTTTATCTCTAAAAACAGTTGAGCCTATAACGCTAGTATAATGCTAGTATATAGGGCATAGAGTAATGGCAAATAAAAATCGCTTGCTATTACCACTAACAAGGCTCAAAATAGCCCCACACTAACACGACAGCATAATAAGGGTCCCTACATACAAACCAGAGCATTGAAAACTTTGTCAGTGTCCAAACAGATTAATAAGAAGATATTTTATACATACAGTCAACTTCGCGAATACAGGAAGAAGCCATCTTTGGAAAATAGTCTCTACCAGTCGATCTACGAATGCCGATCCATGTGCGCTGAACTGTGCAGAATCTCATATGGTCCGTTCATCTCAGTGGAATGAGATTTTGTGAATGTTCATACATTATCTATCTATACACACACAAAAACACTGGGCTTGATTCGGTTGTTCTGAAGGTATGGAAAAAAATGTTTACACTTCTGGTCTTCGGGGTCAATATGACCTGACATTGAAATGAATGGGAAATGTGAAAAAAACTAAATATATTTTCTTCATGTGTCAAAAAAAAAAGTATCTGGCATAAATCTGAAAATGTTTACACAGAAATGAAGGCCGAGTACTAGAGCATAAATGCAGTGTATCATAAAAAAATAATATTTCATATGCAAGCTAATGGTGTAGATGAGGAATTGTGTGGTATATGTATACAAAAGTACTTTATATCTCCAAAAACACAGCATTAATGAATAGATGAGACGTAAACAAAAAAAGATATATTATTTGTATGATTAAAAATTTATATTTTTTTGTACAATTACTCAATCAATTGTTGGGGTCGTAGAGACCCCGAAGCCCAGAAGTGTAAACAGGAGACGAAGACCATTTGAAGGTTAAATGTTAAAAGTGTCCGTTCAAAGAAAGGGTTATTGAGTGTCTGTGGTTTTTCACTCCAGAATTCAACCATTTTGATCAACAAACTGATATATACATGCTATGGCTTTAAAAAAGAAAGGGCATGTAATGTGCCATGTATGTGAGACAGTGTTTGAAAGCATAAAAGGTGATTTTTTTTTAGAACACAAATATGATTTTACAACAATTTTAATGTGAATGTCAGCAAATTACAGCTGTTGCTGAATAAAACACTCACAAATGTGACCTTTGTTCTTCTGTTTTACTACAATTCACAAAAAGAGTTGCAGATGGGTTGTTGACATGATGACATGTGACAACAATTTCTGGCATGCTATAATCGTAAACTCATTGGATAGTGGGTGTTGCATGTCAGAATAGAGCTAGACGATATGTGGGTTTGCCAATGCCCAAATAGCTATTTAAAAGGGGAAGTCATTTCAGAAGAAGAACAAGTTATTACAATACCACAGGCAATGTACTTCTAAGTAAATAATGTGGTCAATTTTGATTTCTTGTTGAACAGTAATTTGCCACATCACAGGACTGCACTGCAGAAAAGCTGATTAAAGATGGTGACCAGTCTATAATTTTGACCCATGTTGATCTGGGGTCTCATTTATAAAGCGTGCGTACGCACAAAACGGGGCTGGAAACGTACGTATGCCAATATGCCAGGTGGGGGAATGTGCGCACCTTTTAAGCAAACTTTGAGCCGTGCGTACGCACATTCTGGAGGCAAAGGGAATTGGAGACACTGATGGTGAGCTGGAGTTAAATGTCTTTTTTGTCACTTTTAGACTGAAAATCTAAAGAAAAATATAGCCTGAACTAAAGCCTACAAAAAGATAAGAGCCTACAAATACAATTTCACTCTCCAAGCCTATCACTTGAAGACTATATCCAGCCCTTCCTACTCCACTTTTTTTGGAAATAGGCTCATTTTACAACTCCCCCAGAGTTAAGTTAAACATTTGAGTTTTACCATTTTCGAATCCATTCAGCCGATTTTCTGATATTTATAAGAATATCAGTAACCAGAGAGTTTTTGGTCTCATTGACTTCCATAGTAGGAAAAAAATATATATAAGTTTATATATATATATATATATATATATATATATAAGGATACAGTAAAAATTCAACTGGTACTCAACTCAACGATAAAATAACTTTTACTTAAGTAAAACTCAAACTTAACTCTGGGAGAGTTGTAAAATGAGCCTATTTCCAAAAAAAGTGGAGTATCCAACGATGGAGTAATGTCCACGCCAGCGAGCGCGTTGGGCCGTTTAGTGAAACTGACGCACATATAGCCTATAATCTAATGGCAGATGAAGTAAAACTGTAAATCTTCATGAGTAATAATTACAGCGCATGTTCTCAATAACAGTTTAAATAAATTAAAGAATGTTTTAAACCATGTTTTACTTCTTATATGAACATTTAGATTAAATATGCCATTCTCATTAACGGAGTTAAACACTTAAACTACATTAAATCATTAAATAATTAAAAATACTATTTGGCCAGTGGAAAAGGATGGGAAAATCTTTCTGTGAAATGTATTTTACACTATTTATTCGTTCAAAAACAAAGCAAGGATATAGGCTACTAAAAAAAAAAAAAAAGCAATTATTGTGACACGGCATATCTGTATTTCATATTTTCCTAACGTCTTGTTTCTTAACATGGTATCACGTGGATGAATAAGCATATGCAAATGATATGCAGATGTGGATATGGATATTTAAACTATGCGTTGTAAGCTCCCTATATGGTTATTTCAGGGAGGAGACGCATGTGCGTACAATTTTTGGCTGACTGGGATTTATAAAGGGAATTCTGCGCAGGTTCTGGCATACACACGGTTTTATAAGTCTGAATATTTTTTGGCGTACGCCATTTTTGGCTTTCGGGCACACATACACTTTTAGTTAGGATCCTACGCACAGTTTTATAAATGAGACCCCCGATTTTTCTTTACAGGTGCTGTAAGCGATTTATGAGAAACATTGTTGATGTGTGAAAACAATACTCAAACAAACACACCTATCCCTTAATTTCTCCGCCCCCTAAATATTGAACAACACAGGCAACCAATAACAGCTGGCATATTAGCTCATGCAATGGATGAATTAGCTGTAATTCAACAGCATACCTTGCATTTGTGAAACATAGCAAAAAACAATGTTGCTCACGTGTCGAGCAGAAACAAAGGAACCTTTGCGTCAGTTTTCAGGTCTTCGCGCTCTCTAACGTCTCTCAGGCACTGGAAAGCTTTCCAGTAGTAATGTGGGTCCTAAAGCTCTTATCTGATCATAACCCTCCTTCCAATTATATTCCCCAGACCTTTTCCTCTTTGGTAATATCTCAGCCATCTCTCTCCCTTTCTTTCCTACTCGCTCGCTCACTCACTCTCTTCCCCCACTATGAGTGTATACGCCCCCCTACTGCCAATCCACATTGTTTTTTCTCCTATTTACACAACCAGGGCAATATACAAACACACTTATTTCAGCACATACAGAACAGACATCTAGCATACATTCACAAAATTGTTTGTTTAAGTGTTTTTTTTTTTTTCAGAAAATCGTTTACTGCACCTTTTAGTTGTGTCTAGATGAGGAGAACCCAGTTAAACAAATTACACACATTTTTGTATTGTAATTTGTAAATGATATAAGAATAAATTTATTTTCTGGGGTTTGTTTTCATGTTTAAATCTCTAAATCTTTCATTGTAAATGTTTGAGTTTTCTGAAGTGTGTTTTCAGATTTTTGGATCCCACTACCAGTTTAATTTTTGCATTATTTATATACTATCAATAGTATTTATTAATGTTTTGAGTTAGCTTTTGTTGTTATATTTTTATGTCTAATTTTAATTTTAGCATAATTTTTTTTAAAGTTTGTATTTCATCTAATATTTAGATCAATTACTGAATTTAGTTGTAGTTAATATCAACACCACACTGAACATATTGTTACAACTTCCCAGGTATCCACATTTGGATAGAAGTTGGAAATCAGGTTTCTTTGTTGAACAAATGATTACCTGCTACAACCTGATTATTATACAACCAGTAAGGTTCACTTGGAGTGCAACTACGCACTGTGATGTTTTGCGATGTCAGATTTTTTTCCTCGAACTTGATTTAATATTGTAACATAATCTGGACCTACACAGAGTCATATTTTAAATGTCTCCTGCTTTATCTCTGCTTAATGTAGTTTTTCCATTTTGGGGGCAATTCTTATGAGTCAGCATCAGTTTACACCACTTCCTTCCTTTATTAGCTGCTTTGGGTGTGTTGAGGATTGAGTAACTCAGGCTACAACTTAGAAACAACAGAGATTGGTTTTTGATTTATAGTCGGCAGAATCTGCTGTGACAAGTCTTGAGGCAAGTCTCGCCTTTCATTTGTCACTATTCATTCAGCTTATGGTCCTTTTAAATGAACTTCCATCCAAATGTCCATTCTATCTCTATAAAGCCTACTGTTTCATATTTGATACTCACATTTCTAAGGCCTTTAAATTATCATCATGATCAACTTTGCTGAAATTTCTGTCTCACAATCTACTTCATGCCTTCTGTCGTCTGATTGATAGTTCAAACTTCTTTTGCAAGTAAAAGGTATTTTAGTATAATCATAAGTTAATAACGTTCCCTTTCAGCTTGTGGTACATTTGTCTTATTGCTGTGAAATCTACTTATTTAATATAAAGTAAACGTTAGAATAACCTTTATATTTTTATATTCCAAGCAACTTAGTTTTATTTGATTATCCCTCATTTGAAGAAAAATCTCATTGATTTACATTACAAGCTATCAGAATTTATAATTAGAATTTTTGGCAATATAAATAACATCAACTGCACCAAATTTTGCCCCATATTTCAGCTAAAAGCTCAATTCTGGTTAGGGCTGCAACAAACTATTATTTTGATAATTGATTAATCGAACGATTAATCGACTAATCGTTGATTATTTCACCGGCTAATCAGTAAGTTTGGAACGCTTATTCAGCTTTTTCAATTAGTTAAAACATTGAGTTATACATTTTTTTACTATAATATAAAAAAAGAAAATCAGTTCAGCTTTTGAAATAGCTGTTTTAATGAACTTTGAGCAAACTAAACAGGTCGTTCTCTTTAAGTTTTCAGATTTCAGTCCAACTCAAATCACATGTAAATGCTCTCTAAGCATTGTTTAATTGGACCACTGCTTTTCTTAGAACTGAAACAGAAAAAGGGACATTTACTTCAGGACACAAAGAGTGGTAAAATATTAATCTGCAAACCATTCTTATAAATATAAAATTATTACAATCTTTTTTTTACATGACAATTGAGTTGACCGAGACATTCTCATTCACCTTTTAAATTATAGTATGAAAAAGAAAAAGTAACTGCCATAATATTCTTCCTAACATCTCCCATTATCTAATAAAGAGATTTACGTTACCACTAGTTAGTTAGCTCCAGCAGGAGAACACTCAATTCTCACCGGCTCCTCTTTTGCTGGGATATTTCCTCTTGTGAGTGCGCCAACTTGCATGTTGTGCTCCCGTGAAAAGCAAGTTCTGCCTTGCATGTTTTGTACATGACTGCATTGTTGGTTTGAAGTTTTGTGAAACGTTCCCAAACCTTGCTAGTGCGGATTCATTTGCACTCCGTCACAATTCGTGCTGTTTTTTTCTTTTACCGCAACAGCATTTGTAAAGGGTCGCATATTACACTCTAGCGCTACAGTGCATTGCGGTCAAATCGCAATATTGCACGCCCTTACATTAGGTCATGTGAGATCAAACGACTACTCGACAACAACGATATTTGTCCAGAATTTTTTATTGTCTGTCAACAATGTCAACTAATCGTTTCAGCCCTAATAGAGCTGGTAAGTCCCGCCCATCCGTAAAACTCCAAGTGGACCTCTAGGTTGAAAAAGCATCAATGCAAGTGAATGAGGGAAAATAATTATTTTCTGGTCCCGTTTGAATTGTGCCATGAGTGTAACGTATGTTTTCTGTGAATTTTTTTTTATATAATTTCTCATGTAACGAGTTTGACGGTATATTGTATGATTCTTTGGCTAGCAGTTGTGGAATAGACATAACGAGAAAGACTACACGTCGCATATGTGACGTCGCCGCATAACACATTTTCCCTCCACAAATCACTGTTTTCACCACGCTCAACTAGTTGCATGCTCCCTGAAAGAAGGCGGTGAAGTGCACCAAAGACACAGGCATGTTTAGCGGGATCCGTGGGCTGGTGGGTGTGATGTATATCAAACATGTCGAAAGAGTTGTAGTCCACAAAGTGCTCTCACACAAAGTCTAACCGTATAAAAACTCTACCCGCTAAATTGTAGCATTCTTTACACGAAACATTATATAAAATATTCACAGACAACATATGTTCACATTCATTGCAAAATTCAAACGGGATTAGAAAATAATTATTTTCTCTCATTCACTTGCATTGATGATTTTTCAACCTAGAGGTCCAGCGGGGCTAGCTGAAGGGGCGGGACTTACCAGCTCTATTTTGCTTTCCTCTTTGAGTGAGAGATCCATATTCTCCTATATCATTACTATATGAGCCATAAATGTCAGATGCATCTCTTTTTAAAAATATTTTGTCAATGTCAATAAACTGTTCCATTTAAAGAATTCTATTTTTCTGACTATAATTTTGTCATTTCATTTGTAGGTCCAGCAGGTGGTTGGACGACTGGCCTCTCCTGTCCATGGCATGAGTCGCAAGGAAGCGGCACACATCCCTCTGAACCTTTCTCAAAGCTCTCAGAGGAGTCGAGAGACTCAGAGCGAAGTCAGAACAGCATATGCATTAAATCCTGCTGAATCCAGAGCTCATCAGCAGCATATCGTTCAACAAGGTCATGCCGTGATCTTGGCCAACGGACAACCTGTTTTCGTGCCCCTGGACTACCATCATCACCAACAGCAACAGCAGCAGCATTATCAATCCAACGACGTGGCCTCAGCAGCCATCGTTGCTTCTCCCGCTACATATACAAAAGCCACGGATGCAGTAGCGTGTCTCCCAGAGCGGGCGGTGGTAGAGCTGCCTCCCCAACATGGTCAGCAGCTTCCCACTCAAGCTCCTGGTGGTTTACCACAGGCTCCTCTGCTGGCACCCACCGGCCCGTCGCACTTCATGAAGGGGGCCATCATCCAGTTGGCTACCGGAGAGCTCAAGCGTGTGGAAGATCTGCAGACTCAGGACTTTGTCCGGAGCGCAGAAGTTAGCGGTGGCCTGAAGATCGACTCGAGCATGGTGGTGGATATCCGCGCTAGTCAGAGGCCCGGTCTAGTGGCGCTGCATTTCAACGTAGGGGAGCAGCAGAGCAAAGTGACTATAGATGTTCCCCCCGAACACCCGTTTTTTGTTTTCGGACAGGGCTGGTCGTCCTGTAGCCCTGAGGGGACTGCCCAACTGTACGGTCTAACCTGCCACCATCTGCAAGTGGGCGACGTCTGCGTGTCCGTGACGCTACAGCAGCAAGCCACGTTACAGCAGAAACCGACGCAGCAACTGCAGGCCCGGACTCCCACCAAAGCCAACTCCTCGTCAGGAGCCCCTCCTCAGCCCATGGGCCCCCCTGCGCCCCAGCACACCCCTCGGCCAACAAACCAATTAAAGATGGAGCGCATCCACAGAGAGAGGGACAGGGACAAGGAAGAGCCCATGCAGGTCGGGGGTCCTCGACACATCGATGTGTCCCCGAGACCGAACAGGACTTCAGCAGAGCACACTCGGAGCCAGAGCAACTACTATTTGCACACTGAGGGTCATGCTCCACCGGGAACCGGAGCGGGAGCCTCCTCCATAGGGGCGTCCCAGAGGCGCTGGTCTGCCCCTGGCTTCCAAAGATATAACATCAAGAATGAGGAGGGAAGTTTACCCTCAGTTGCCAACTCTGGCTCCTCTCGGCCATCATTTATCCCTCAGGAGGTCAAGCTATCCATTGAGGGGCGCTCGAACGCCGGCAAGTAGCAGCAAACACAAAAGAGATTGTCTTTGGGAGTGAAGTGTCAGTCGGATGTGAAAGAGGGAGCGTGGTCGGAGGGAGAGAGAATGTAGCCTCAGAATGTTTGAGATTTTGCACATATTGGAAGATTCCCCCTGCCGCCCCCTTCTCCGGGTCTTTTCGGTTCTGGTCTCGAGCAGAGGACTTATTTTGCCAGGTCATAGTCAGAGTTCGCAATGACCTGCATGGGCAGCTTTATCTGGTAAATCACGTACCAAAGCCTGCACCGTCTGCTTGTTCCTGTGGGTGAACTATCATGTTTTGGCAGTGATCACTTGCATAAAGATATCTTGCAGTTGCTCCTCAAGTAGATGTTTATTTCAGAAAGGCCAGGGATAAGAATGGGATACAGCCATAGAATCTTGACGAGCCTTTATAATAATAATTATATATTTTGAAGAAGGACGAAAGAGGATAGATTGCTCAACAACTTTTTTCCCTAAAAGACAGGCATTTTCTCTCTAAACATTGACTGTTTCCCTTGTTGCGCTGCCAGGCTTTTATTGGCTAAGACCTTAAAACTTGGACGGTTTGTAATGCGTCTCTCTCTAGAGGTGTGTTTGTCCTCACTTTCCTACACTCTCCTTCTCAGGGTGCTTCTGATGAGGACTACTTTCTAGTCTGGAGTTTGAGAACAGTTGCCCAGCATCGTCACATCAATCAATTGATCCAACAATCTTTCTACAATCAGGAACTAACTCTCGCACGCATCTTAACAGTTGCATTAACAACTCCTCAGAGGTTTTTAGTTTTGATTGAATCTGCATTCCAGTTTCAATGTGATCTCTCCGCCTCAACCCATTGGAGATATCATTTCCCAGTCAGGCTGGCCTAGGAAAACGCCTCTAAATAGTAGGCTACCTCAAGGTTGGAAGCATCCTTAACTTCTTTTTTTAATCCTACATTGTTGTGCCCTATTTCCTGGAGACAACATGTGGTGTCAGCCAAAATCAGCCGTGCTTGCGAAGCTGAGACCAAATGTGGAACATGTTCTAGTCGTTTGCGAACGGCTTGTTCCTGTGGAAATGGATTATTGCTCTGAAGCGTGCAGGTTTAAGTGAAATCGTCCCATTGGAAGCGTTGAGCACAGACAAGTGTAGATTCACTGCTGTTGGGTGTGGACTGGCCCTGCTCGGTTATCAAAAACAAAGCAATAGTTTTTTCATGTTGTTTTTTTTTTGTTGTTGTTTTAAATCCCGTACAGGATAGATTACTCCTTGTATTTCAAATTTTTTTTGCAGTCTGTATGTAAAGACCTTTTCCTGCACTTCTCTTGATTTTCTAAGATAATGCAGTTTTACTTTGTGATAATACTCACTCTAACAGTTACTACAGGAGTTCATTACAAGCATGCAATTACCCCTAAAACAACACCTCTTTCTTTTAGGCAGATTTTCTGTCTGACCAGTAGTGTCTTCAGAGATGACATATGAAACCACACCTCAAAATGGGGCTTTTCTCAAACACCCGTTGATTAGGATATTCAGGGTCAGCTCTTGCTATTTATAAAAAAGACCTTGGTCTACCTTAAATTATGTCCTAACCAGGTATGACATGATAAAATCGCCAAGCAACAGGACGCTTTTGGCTATCAAATTTTCCGATTTCTGTTTTTGTGGTATTGTGCTTGGTAACTCTGCCTAACATCAAATCTTATTGGTCCAAAATCCTTCCATAGTTTATTTTTTTAGCATTTTTGCTTTCAGTTTGGACTGACAAATTACTCATCACTGGAAACTTGTCACGTCATGTCTGGTTAGGACCAGTGTTGAACCGTAAACTCATCTTGAAAGAGGAAAGAGCTTTATTAATATAGTTTCTAATTCAGATCTGTGCTGAGGTTTTTATGGTTTCTTCTTGGGTTTCTGTAATTGGTGAACTCTTGTACAGTATTGCATTCTCTCTTCTTCTTGGCAATATTACCCACGAGTGATTTTTAAAACTTGTACCGCAGGCCTTGTATTGCACAGATAAGTTCAATTGATTCACACTGACTCTTTAACAGGAATCAGATATTATGTGTTTTATTGTTTGTTTGTTTGTTCTTTTTTTAATAATGAAGGGAAAATGTTTGTGTTCTTTTGAAGTATTCAGTTTTGTTGGTGGTTTTTGGCTCACGAGAAACTGACAGGCAAGGTTGACACTGTTTACACATTAGCCAAGAGAAAATGCTGCAGTTTCACTTTTCGTAGTTACTGAACATTTTCAGATGGATGAAATCATGACTTAAGTGCAATTAGACCAAATAATATAAACATTAGGAAGATTGTGTTTAGTTTCAAAACAGCATTCCAGAAAAGAGCCTGACATTCCCACTTTTCCTTTTGCTGTTGTTGTTGTTGTAATGTTTCTTTGTTTCCCCCTTACTGTTTTTCCTCCACTTACTACTTGTCAGGTGCAATTTTTCGTTTCCATTTTGGCTCAAGTTCTTTCATGAGACCTTGCGTTGTTGGCTCTTGGCATTGCTGGGCTGTCTCTGTTTGGGCCATGATTTAATTTAACAGTTTTTGCACTCTCACTATCACTCAAGGCTTTAAGAGGAGGGTTTTTTTCTTTTAGGTAAAAAAAATAATATATATATTTTATATAAATGTAGCGTTAGCATTTGACTAGTTAGATTTAGACTTCCTCCAGACTGCATCAACCTCATTGATACCACATGTCTGTGCAGTTCGAAAACTTCTAATGTTAAAGGGGTACTCCACTTTTTTTTGGAAATAGGCTCATTTTACAACTCCCCCAGAGTTTTACCGTTTTCGAATCCATTCAGGCGATTTTCTGATATTTAGAAGAATATCAGTAACCAGACATTTTCTGGTCCCATTGACTTCCATAGTATATATTTTTTCCTACTATGGAAGTCAATGGGACCAGAAACTGTCTGGTGACTGATATTCTTCTAAATATCAGAAAATCGGCTGAATGGATTCGAAAATGGTAAAACTCAACTGTTTAACTCTGGGGGAGTTGTAAAATGAGCCTATTTCCAAAACAAGTGGAGTATCCCTTTAAAGAGAAGAGTTGGAAAGAAGGGTTAATCGATTGAACTCACAGGACAAATTATGTGGGTACACTTAATAACCTTTTTCCCTAGTATATAAACCCACCTGGTTTACCAACAAGTCTGATTCAGACAAAATGAAGAAATGGCAATGTGTGTATCAAGTATAACAGTATTTGGTTTTGATAACCAACATTGGTTCAAATCCATTTGTTGTTTAATCAAGCATTTCATGAGCATCATCTGTTGTTTTGTTTGGAGACATCTTGTTCCCTCTTAAAAGGAGTCCCACTTTCATGCTATTTATAATCTGGTCTCAAATCTAGTTCATGTTATTTCTTCCTTGCTCTTTCCCCTTTGTCCCAGAATGTTTCGGTGGCACATTGGACCTTTTTAAGATAGTTCACAAAGGACATTTCATTATTGCTCATTTAAAGGAGAACTCCGGCGAACAATGAACCTTTGGTCTAATAAAACATCGATACCTAGATAACCGTTCTCTGAGATTTGTTTTCATGATAATCAAATGTAAAGAGTTTTTTCTCTAAAAACTGTTTAGCGTATAATGCTAGTACTGGGGGCATTGACTAAGTAAAGAGAAATCGCTTGTTTATACCACTAACAAGGCTCAAAATAGCCCCACACTAACACAGTAACATAATCAGGTTCCATACATGCAAAACGAAGGATTGAGAACTTTGTAAGTGTACAGACCGTTTAATAAGAAGATACTTTATAAAGACAGTTCACTTCGTGTATACAGGCGGTGCCATCTTAGAAAATAGTCACGACAAGTCAAACCACAAACTTCTATTTTGGGCTATTTTGAGCCTGATTAGTGGTATAAACGAGCGATTTCTTTTTACGAATGAGTTACTCTTTACATTCGATTATCATGAAAACAAATCTCAGAGAACGGTTGACTAGGTACCGATGTTTTATTAGACCAAAGGTTCATTTCAGCTTCCCAATAGGGTCACAACTGTCATCCAAGGCCTTGCAGACACAAATTTAAGTATGTTCCTGACTGGGAAAATCATCTTAAACCTGCCTAATTTAGTCTGCTTGTCTTCAGCCTGGTCAAGTGTGTATGGTTTGCTGGTTTTTAAGCTGTTTTGAACAGCTGGTCAACCGGCTTGGGAGACCAAATTTGGTTTCAGGTTGTTAGGTTCACACACAGGGAAAATGTATAAGTTGGTATTCAAATTTGGGACCTGTTCCATTGTTTTAAGTATTACATTTGACATGAAGCAATACTTGACTCGAAATAGCAGAAACATATACAGCTTTAGGATGAGCTATGCAGTAGAGACTCAGTCAGCATCTGATGCGTAATGCAGTTTCAATACTCTCACCAGTTTGTCTGTGGTGTGCTGCGTTTCAAGAAACGATTCGATGTAGTTGCACATTCTGTATTTCCTCTAGTAATCCGCAGGCTTGGTGACCTTTATGGTAGTAGTCAGTTAGGACTATGTCACTACCAAATCACATAACTTGAAGCGTATCTTGTGTCGCTAGTTTGGTGCTGTATTTTTTGTTTTTGTCAGCAATGGTGCACTGTTCTCTGTCTTCTCTAATGCACTGCCTTACCAGCCATCTCTCGTGGAGATGAAATCTCCCACATGCAGCCTTCATGGTGGAGATGGACTGAGTTCGCTTTCATTAAGAACTGAGCTACTATCCTGTGCGTGACTGTAACCAAGAAGAGTTGACGCTATGTTTGTGCCTTCCCAATGTCTTAACTTTACTATGGTCTGTCTTATTAAGCTCTGTCCTCTGGTAGATTTGCTTGTCTCCACTTTGCTCTTACTGTCTTTACATGTCGTATATCAATCTTGCTGGCTTTAAAATCATTCCGTACTGTTGAGGGCATTTTTGATCCTATCTATACTGCAACGTCAACCTTTCTGCCTGAAACTTCATGGCATCCCAATCAAATACCTACAATTATAAAAATATTACGATAGAAAATGAGCAATGAAGTGCTGCACTGATGACATTTTTGTAGGTCAACCTGGAAGTTAGCTTCACCCTGTTTCCCTCAACAAAACCCAGCGGATTAGTGTAGAAAATAAGATAGTTTTAGGGTTGTGAAACGATTAATCGCGATTAATCGCATCCAAGATAAAAGAGTGTGTTTACATAATATATGTGGGTGTAGTGTGTATAATTATTTTGTATATATAAATACACACACATATGCTTGTATATATTTAAGAAAAATTTGCATGTATATACTTTATATATTTACACCAAATTAATATTATACATAAATATAAATATTTGATACATTAGTAACACATTTTTCTTAAATATATATATATATACATGCATGTGTGTGTATTTATATATATACAAAATAATTATACACACTACACACGCATTATGTAAACACAAACTTTTATTTTGGTTGCGATTAATCGCGATTAATCGTTTCACAGCCCTAGATTGTTTTGATGTATGATTCATCATGATAATATTCACAAATGAACACAACGTTTATGAATTTTGAAGCATAAATACAGTCCTCAGAAGTAAAGGCAAAATGTAGGCCATAAACGATCAACACCACGATCGCATGACGTCAACGTCACCGTCATTAAAGGTGTAGTTCACTTTTGAAAAAACTTTTGCTGATAATTTACTCACCCCCATGTCATCCAAGATGTCCATGTCTTTCTTTCTTCAGTCGAAAAGAAATTAAGGTTTTTGATGAAAACATTCCAGGATTTTTCTCCATATAATGGACTTCAGTGGGAACCAAATGGTTCAAGGTCCAAAAGAAACTTTCAGTGCAAACTGTTGAAAGGGCTTTAAACGATTCCTGACGATGAATAAGGATCTTATCAAGCGAAACAATCGCTCATTTAATAAATAAATAACAAAGTTTAAGTTTTATAAGCTCAAATGCTCGCCTTGCTGTGATGCTCGTTCGTGACTCTCCTGTTCAAACTCGTTCATCAAAATGAACGAATCTTTTTCTGAGTCAATTCATTCGCTTCGTTCGATCGTTGAATGAACAAAATGACTGAAAAAGATTCGTTCATTTTGATGAACGAGTTCGAACAGGAGAGTCACGAACGAGCATCACAGAACAGAGCAAGACGAGCATTTGAGCTTATAAAACTTGAACTTTGTTATTTATTTATTAAATGAGTGATCGTTTCGCTTGATAAGACCCTTATTCATCGTCTGTAATCGTTTAAAGCCCTTTGAAGCTGCACTGAAACTGTCTTCTTGACCTTGAACCGTTTGGTTCCCAATGAAGTCCATTATATGGAGTAAAATCCTGGATTGTTTTCATCAAAAATCTTAATTTCTTTCCAAAAAAAGAAAGACATGGACATCTTGGTTGACATAGGGATGAGTAAATTATCAGCAAAGGTTTTTTCAAAAGTGAACTACTCCTTTAAGTGTCCGACAACTTTCAGTCTTTTTTTTATTATTATTCCTTAATTTAGAATAGTTTGCAAAACCATAATTATAAACACAACAAGGTTGTGAACATGGACAAATGTGTAGATGAGGTTACCTGTTCGGCTGAGGATGTTCAATGTCCCCGACAACCTCTGCAATCCCATTAAGCCACTTGTTATCAACCACATTTTACAAGAGGGTGTTACTAATGTATTTTATGTTATAAAATAAAACATGAAAATATCTTGAACTTGTGTTAACTACAGACTATTTTTAGGCTTTTAACCAAAAAAATTCAGGTTTATGGAAGTTGGAGTGCTAAAATGTTAACCCGTTTCCAGGTTTTGGACAGCAAAAATGTCATCCCCACAGCTCTATATAGTTTAGCTATTGACGGAAGATCAACGTGGGGGGTGGGAATCTGTAAATTGTGACATTGTAAAGCTGTGATCTTATCATTTGACGTTGCATATTCAATGGTAACAGCACAGAAGGTTTAAGCTTGAGCTACATTCCTGCGCTTCTGCATTTCCTTCTCTCTATGAATGTGAGAGAATTAATCCAATCATGTCCTTTATACCTCGCTTTTGCTTACATATTGAGTACAGCATTGATTAAAGCATCTCATCTCCTTATAAAGAATAGGATGCCTGCACACTAGACAAAAACAGAGGGTTTCATGGGTAGAAATGCATTCTTAATGAGGAAAGAGTTGGATTAGTTGAAATAAAATGGGATTTTTTTTTTTTTTTTTGAGTACGAAGCACAATCAGACCAGCCTGCAACAGTGTGTGTTGCATTTCAGATTCAGGTTTTGGTCACATGGCAGATTGTCATTTTCACAACACTGGCGTTTTTCCTTTTATCGATGATGATTTTCATGTTCCCCATTGAAATCAAAGGAGATATTTCTGGTGTGTAGACGCCCTATTCTTCGCTCTGAAACTGTGTTGTTCTTCCATAGAGCCTCACCTAATCATGTAACATAGACGTTTGTCACTTTGATGCAATGAAATGTTCTGCACTTATTTCCCCTCACCTATAGTGTTATTGTAAATGTTTCGCCATTATATTGAATCGTTCGAAACCACGTGAAACAATCATCCGACGTTTTTATGCTTGTACAGATATGAATATATGTTTTGTATAATATTAGCTTGTCAATAACGCCTTAAGATGTGCATTGTTCGTAAACGATGCGTACAAGTGACTCCCGCTCGATTTCAGTTCTAGTCGTTTTGACCGTGGACAACTCTGGTGTAATGTGGCTCGGGTTGCTCACTGACCACAATTAGTGACCT